ACATCAGGACTCCACTATTTATGTATCAGGAAAGTCATTTCTTTTTTATTCCTTCTTCTACCTTTCCTTTTACAACAGTCATACTTCTTGTTCTTTTTTTTTTTTACTTATAGTCTATCTAGCTCCTCTTCTCAACGTTAATAAAAGCTGTGTGAGTGACTTTAGTATGTTGTTTTTGCTACATGCCTTAGAGTCGGTTCCGATTCATAGTGACCCTATGCACAATAGAAAGAAACAATGCCCGGTTCTGGGTCACGTTCATAATTATTCTTAACACTTGAGCCCAACACAATTCATCTTTGTTGGGGGTTTTCCTCTTTTTGGCTGACCCTCCACTTTACCATGCATAATGTCTTTCTCCAGGGACTGATGCCTCCTGTTAATATATCCCAAGAATGAGAGATGAAGTCTGGCCATCCTTGCTTTTAAGGAGCATTCTGACTGTACTTCTTCCAAAATAGATTTGTTTTGGCAGTTGGTACTTTAAATATTCTTCAGTGGTTTTCCTTACTTATTGTCCAACTTTCACATGCATATGAGGCAACTGAAAATAGCTGTATGTTGTGTCTGTCTCACCTTAGTCCTCAAACTGATAGGTTTGCTCCTGTACAGCAGATTTGCCTAATGCAATACGTTGTTTGATTTCTTGACTGCTGTTTCCATGGGTGCTGATAGTGGATCCAAGCAAAATGAAATCTTTAACAACTTCAATCTTGGTCCAATTATGAGAATTTCTGTTTTAGGTGCAATCCATACTGATACGAGTCAGTAAGTACTTTAAGTCCTCTTTATTTTCAGCAGGCAAGGTTGTATCATCTATCTACATATCACAGGTTGCTAATGGGTCTTCCTCCAATTCTGATGCCATGTTCGTTTTCATAAAATTCATCTTCTCAGATTATTTGTTCAGCATATGGACTGAGTAAGTACAGTGAAAGAATACAGTTCTGGAACACACCTTTCCAGATTTTAAACCATTCAGTATCCTTATGTTTTGTTCAAATAACTGCCTCTTGGTCTATGTACAGGTTCCTCATGGGTACAATCAAGTGTTCTTCATACTGCTATCCATAGCTTGTGATGATCCACACAGTTGAAAGCCTTTGTATAGTTATTAAAGCACAAGTTAACAGCTTTCTGGTATTCTCTACTTTCAGTCAAGATCCATCTGATGTCAGCAATAATATCCCTAGTTCTACATCCTCTTCTGAACCTGGCTTGAGTTTCTGGCAGCTCACTATCAAAGTATTGCTGCAGCCATTCTTTGCATGTTATATAAATGATATTGTTTGATGATTTCTTCATTCCACTGGGTCATTGTTCTTTGGAATGGGCACAAATATGGATCTCTTCCAATCAGTTGGCCAGGTAGCTTCCTTCCAAATTTCTCAGCTTAGATGAGTGAGTGACTTCATTGCTTCGTCAGTTAGTTGAAAGATTTCAATTTGTGTTCTATCAATTCCTGGAGCCTTGTTTTTTTGTCAATGCCTTCAGTGCAGTTTGGACTTCTTCCTTCAGCACCATCGGTTCTTGATCATATGCTACCTCTTGAAATAGTTGAACATTGACCATTTCTTTTTGGTAGAATGACTCTATGTATACCTTCCAACTTATTTTGATGCTTTCTGCATCTTTCAATATTTTGTCTATGGAATCCTTTAGTATTGCAAATCAAAGCTTTAAGTTTTTCTTTAGTTCTTTCATCTTGAGAAATGCTGATTGTTTTTGGTTTTGTAACTCCATGTCTTTGCACATTTGATTATAACAGTTTACTTTGTCTTCTTGAGCTGTCTTGTAAATTTTTCTATTCACTCTTTGACTTCCTCATTTCTTCTAGTCGTTTTAGTATCTCTATGCTGGAGAGCAATTTTCAGAGTCTCTTCCGACATCCATTTTTGTATTTTATTTACTTCCTGTCTTTTTAATGACCATTTGCTTTCTTTCTGTATGTCTCTGATGTCATCCCAGAACTCTTCTGATGTTCAGTCATTAGTGTCTAATGAATCAAATCTGTTCTTGTGGTAGTCTCTAAATTCATGTAGGATATGTTCAAGGTCATATTTTGGCTCTTGTGGATTTGTTTTACTTTTCTTAAGCTTCAGCCTGAACTTGCATATAAGCAATTGATAGTCTGTTTCATAGTCTGCCCCTCACCTTGTTTTGGTTGATGATATCTGGTTTCTTCCCACAGATGTTGTCAAGAGGATTCCTGTGTATTCCATCTGGTAAGGTCTATGTGTATAGTGGGCTTTTTATGTTATTTAAAAAAGGTATTTTAAATGAATGAGTCATTGGTCTTGCAAAATTCTATCATGCTATCTCTAACATCATTTCTATCACCAAGGCTGACCCGTCCTTTTTTTTCTCCAACCTCTGCATTCCAATAATTATGAATCCATCTTAATTGCATGTTTGATCAATTTCAGACTGAAGAAGTTCGCAGAATTCTTCAGTTTCATCATCACTGGCTTTGGTGGTTGGCATATAAATTTGAATAACAAGGGGTATTAACTTGTCTTCCTTGTAGGTGTATGGATATTACCTTATCACTAACAGTGTTCTACTTCAGTACTGATTTTGAAATGTTCTTTTTGATTATGATTGCTGTGCCATTCCTATTGGATTTGTCCTTTACGGTATAGTAAACCATGTAACTGTCAAATTCAAAATAGCCAATATCAGTCCATTTTAGCTATTTAATGCCTATGATATTCATATTTATGCATTTTATTTCATTCTTGACAATTTCCAATTTTCCTAGATTCTCATTTCGTATATTCCATGTTCTGATTATTAATGGATGCTTGTAGCTATTTATCCTCATTTTGAGTTGTGCACCATCAACAAATGAAGGTCCCCAAAACTTTACTCCATTCATGTCATCATGGTCAACTCTACTTTGAGAAGGCATCCCCTTCCCAGTAGAATTTTGAGTACCTTCCATCCTGAGGAAGTCATCCTCTGGCACTATATCTGACAATATTCTAGTGCTATTCATTAAGTTTTCATTTTCTGGTACTATGTTTGACAATGTTTCATTGTTAGTCATAAGATTTTCAGTGACTAACCATTCAGAAGTAGTCTGTCTTTCCTCCCTAGTGCATCTTAGTCTGGAAGCTGCATAGAAATCTGTCTACCATGGGTGACTCAGCTGGCATTTCAAATACCAGTGGCATAACATCAAGTATCACAGTAACACGGAAGCCACCACAGTATGACAAACTGACAGATGAATGGTGGCATTCTAGTATGAGCACTTCTAATCTGTATCACCAAGTGCATTGTTTGCTATACGTTTCTTTCATATCCTGTTGTTATTAAGTGCTATCAAGTTGGTTCTGACTCATAGTTACACTGGATTGGGTTTCTGAGGAGCAGTTGGTGAGCTTGAACTGCCGACCTTGCAGTCCAGTGCATATATCTTACTTCTATTTAAATGCCAAAGATATACAAACATTTCTGAAATTAGTAAGAAAAAAATTCTTGGTGGGTCTCAAATGTTCTGTTCCCAGTGGGACTGGAATGATGACAGCACAGTTGGATATATGAGTTCTAAGACTGGGACTAGAGTTGTTGTTGCTGTTGTTAAGTGCTGTTGAGTCAGTTCTGACTCATAGTGACGCTGTATAGGGTTTCGATGGAGCGGCTGGTGGATTTGAACTGCCGACCTTTTGGTTAACAGTTCAGTGTTAGTCAACTACTAGTGCAGGGAATCCTGATGGCACAATGGCTAAACACTTAGCTGTGAACTGGAAGTTTGGTGTTTTGAAGCTAACAGCTGCTCTGCAGAAGAAAGATGTGGCAGTGGCAGTCAGCTTCTGTAAAGATTACAGCCTTGTAAAACCCTACGGGGCAGAGATCTACTCTGTTCTATAGAGCTGAACTCAATGGCAACAGGTAGTTTGAGTGGGAGCAGAACTGGGCAGTCATCATGGCCTCACCTGTGCAGATATGTGAGTCAAGTCCTATTGGAGCAAATCTGTAATTCATAAATGTGCTACTTAGTGATTGGTCAGAGACTCTGGATGCACAAGAGAAACATCCTGTTGTTAGCTGCCATCGAGCTGATTCTGACTCACGGTGACCCGTATGTACAGAGCATAGAATTGCTCCGTAGGGTTTTCAAGGCTGCGACTTTTCAGAAGCAGTTATCACCAAACTGGTCTTCTGAGGCACCTCTGGGTGGGTTTGAACCATTGACCTTTCAGCTAGTACTGGAGTGCTTAGCCATTTGTATCATCCAGGAACTCAGATATATCCTAAAGCTTTTTAAAGGTGAACAAAATATGGGAATGTCTCAACTTCTAAGAAGGGTCTCAAAAAGCTAATGGTGAAGGAGAGTTAAAATTACATTTCAAAGAATTAAAAATGTGCTTGTAGATTTGAAGCCATGATCCTAAATCATCAGGTAAAGGGATGTCCAAGAAGCTCAGAGATATGTATATAGCACACCCCAAAGAACATTTTACAGGTTCTGAGTTTAAGAGCTAAAAATCTCAGAGACGATCTTATCAGGAACACCCAATACCTCTATGATTCCAGATATAAGAAATCTTATTACAGTAACTATAAAACAAGAGTGAAGTGAGAGTTCACTGAACTAGATACGAAAAGTACCAAAATCATCTCCATAAAAATGCTTCTGCCATAAGTTTTGAAACTAGATATTAAAATAGATAAAATTATTTTATCTGCAAGAGAGAGAGAGCGATGGAAAAATTCCAAAGGATTTCAGTAATTTTGTCCTACCAGTATATTTGTATAAATGCTGTGATAAAATGAACCCTACAGGAAAAGAGACTGCATTTAAATTGCCACCTGAGGATTTTAGTTTCACTTTGCCATTTTGCTAAAATGTTTAGTTACCGCCTTTTAAAAATTCCTTCCCACCTTAGTTTTCCCTTTGGGTACATAATAAATTCCAGAAGCCCGTAAAAGAAAATAACGACGTTTCCAGGATTTCTTTCCATCTTCTTTCAAGTAAAGAGCTCCTTCAAGTTCTGGCACAATGACAGATGTTCCACAGAAACTTTCCTGCAATTGAGATTCTGATTACATAAAATACACAAACATAAAAATACATATATTTTTATTCACATGTAAATAAGCTGGAATAACATTGTTCTGTGTGTAGATACATGACAGAGACATAGGCTGAATGGTCATGGGAGGAAGAGGAGTCCTGATGTGGTACCATAGGATAAGTACTAGACCTCAAGAGGTTGGTTTGAACCGCAAGGTTTGTGGTTCAAACTCACCAGATGCTCCTTGGAAACCCTATACAGGGTCGCTACTAGTTGAAACTGACTTAATGGCACTTAACAACAACAACAACATGACCCTAATGGTGTTCCTGAATAGTGCAAACTGTTAATGCACTCACTTCGCTATGAACCAGAAGGCCAGCACAGTTAAAAACAGCTCTACTCTGACACATGTGGGGTTGCTACTCGTCAGACTCAACTCAACGGCAACTGCTCTGGTTTTGTTTTTTGAACTTTTGTAACTGTTAGTTGTTATTGTTGCTGTTCAGTACTGTTGAGTTGGTTCTGACTCACAGTGATCCTATATAGAGATTCCAAGGAGCTGTTAGTGAGTTCGAACTATCAACCCTGCAATTCAGACTGACCTTTTGGTCCAGTGCATTGTCCTACAGCTCCACATAAGCTGGCAAGTTGGAAAATCATTATTTTTCTGGTAAGTCCAAAATCAGCTAAATCAGGAAAAGGACAATACAATTACCAGGGGCAAATGAAACCTGTTTGGGGCTCAAACATGCCCATTTGAGATTTGTGACCTAGTACTCATTTCATTGACAGGATGGTCTGGGAACAATGTTTATCAGAATTACTAAGTGAAAACTCACTTGAAGTTAAACAAAAGAACAAACCAACTGTCAAATGAAGCACTGGAACATGCCATCAAAGTGGTAGTAATAAACTCTCTATTGCAGTCGACACCTTCTTTCCATGACTGCAATAATCTGATGTTGGGTATCATCAAGTGGATCTCAACTCATGGCAACCCCATGTGAAAGAGCAGAACTGTTCCATAGGGTTTTCTAGGCTGTAATGTTTATGGAGCTATGGTAGCATAGTGGTTACGAATCAGGCTGTGAACTGCAAGGTAAGCAGTTCGAAACTACCAGTTGTTCCATGAGAGAAAGATAAGGCTTTCTGCTTCCATAAAGATTTACAGCCTTAGAAACCTTGACAGAGCTGCTATGAGTTGGAACCGACTCCACGGCATATCAACAACAACGTTTATGGAAGCAGATGAGTAGCGGTCTTTCTCCCACAGGAGCTACTGGGTGGATTCAAACCACCAACCTTTAGGTGTGTCGCCAAGTACTTAACCATTTGTACCACCAGGGCTCCTTATTAATTCAATCTGACTGGTAAGTTTATTGTCACCATTGTGTATATGAGGAAACAATTTCATATAAGGGACACAGTCAACAGCACATGATCCATGAAAGGCAGAGCTGCACCTCACATCAAAGCTCTGAATCCAAACCACACGCTCTTCCTACCACAACTGACTGCTGGGAGAGCAATTTATAATTCACTTTAAAAAAGATGTGAAAACCCTTCAGAGGAGCAAATAGGTAATAAAACGTGGGATATTAGGAAACGACTGCATGAGGATTCCTAAGTCTTTTAGCCACCAACTACTATCCCACTTTATGAAAAACAAAATAAGATTGGCTACAGTTATAACTTTTACAACTGACTCGAAGAAGCAGCTTCATTATCTAAAGAGCTACATTTTGTGACAACTTGATTTTAAAGTACCGATTTAAAATTTCACGATGTGTCTCGGAATGTCTCATTATACTCAGAAACAAATACTTTTAAATAGATACAGTTACTGTCCTCCTTTTTCCTTCCATTCTACAAAATCAAGCTTACCTCAAGTAGGGATTCCTTGTTCTTGGCGTTCATTTTCTCACTCGTTTCCTTGTCTTCTTTTTTTCCTTTGTTATCCAGGTAAAAATTCTAAATGAAATGTTAAAAGATCTGATCAGTGTTTATTACCATAGTAGACTCTGCGAGGATACAGTCTTGTTGGAGAGAGAAGAATTAACCTACATGAAACCAAGAAAACAAGGTGTATGGTATCAACCAGTCTTACTGAATCCTTACTGTGGTATCACAGAAACAGACGGAAGACATTCCATCTCCTTCAGACCAGCTCACATCAATTAGAAAACATTCACAAACAATAGCAAAGGATGTGATGGTATTTCATTGCTAAATTCATGGTATAACATGTAAGTGGTAAATGGAAGAGGGCAGTATACTGGGAAGAGCCTAAGAGGAGGGACAGTCAATCCAACTCCGCCCTGCAAGAAGGGAATTACACAATGGATACTGTGTGTTGTTGTTGTGAAGTGCTGTCGAGTCGGTACCGACCCATCGTGACCCTGTATAGGGTTTCTGAGGAGCAGCTGATGAGCTTGAACCACCAACCTTGCAGTTCAAACAGGTTTGCAGGGTGGCACATTAACCCACAGTGTCACACCAGAATTCCTGGATACTGTGTAGGAGCCAAAAATCTTGTGCAATTGACACCCTGTCTTACCAAGAGAAGCTTGAAATTTGGGCCTTTATAAATATTAGCAACAGTTTTTAAAATACAGTTTAATTACAGAAAAATTGCACAGAAAGTATAGAGGATTCTTATTTACCCACCCCCTCACACATACATGTAATTTTCCCTATTACTAACATCTTAGATAACTGTGGAATATTTGTTACTATTGATGAACCAATATTAATGCATTATTATTCAATAAAGTTTATATTTCACATTAGGAGTCCTGGTGTGGCACTATAGGATAATCACTAGACCACAAAGTTGGTGGTTCAAAATCATCAGCCGCTCCTCAGAAATCCTATACAGGGTCGCTATGCGTCAGAACCCACTCGACAACACTTAACAACAACAACAGTACTTCACATTAGGATTCACTTTGTGTCATATGTTGTTGTTGCTGTTGTTAAGTGCCATCAAATTGGTTCTGACTCATAGAGACCATACACAGGGTTTCCAAGGCTCATTACGTAACTCATTACGGAAACAGCTGCATTTCTCTCCCAAGGAGCTACTGGTGGGCTGGATCCGCCTCTAGTTCACAGTCCAGAGTGAATCCTACAGTGTCACCAGGGATCCCTTGATATAGTCCTATGGATTTCAACAAATGTAAGGGTTGCTATGAATCAGAGCCAACTCCACGACACATAACAACAACAACAACGTAATATCACATATCTGTCATTACAGTATCATGCGGAATAGCTTCACGGCACTAAAAATGCCCCATGTGCACTTATTTATCCCTCTGCCTTCTCACCCACTCACAGCAACCCTTGACCTTTCACTGTCTCTATTTGTTGTTAAGTACCGTGGAGCCAGTTCCGACTCATAGCGACCCTGTACAGGGTAGGGTTTCTGCGGCTGCAAATCTTTATGGGAGCAGAAAGCCTCACCTTTCTCCTCTGGAACAGCTGGTAGTTTTGAACTGCCAACCTTGAGGTTAGCAGCCTGATTCATAACCACTATGCTACCAGAGTTCCTTATTGTCTCTATAGTCTTGACAGTGTATATATAGTCTTTTCAGGTGGACTTTTTTCACTTTTTCTTAGGCATTTAAGGTTCCTCCATATTTGTCCATGATTTGATAGCTCATTTATTTTCATTGTTGGACAATATACTCCATTGTATGTATGTACCACAGTTTGTTTATACCTGTTGAAAGATAGTTTGGTTGCTTCTTATTTTTGGCAATTATGACCATAGGAGTTACAAATATTCACTCATGGGAAGACTTTCGTGTGGACATACGCTTTCATGGCAACTAATCTTATTTTTTATAAAATACTGTGTGGTCAATCACAATACAGAGTTTGCCTCCCAGCAATTCTAAGGACAGGGAAATATACATAGGGCATTTATAGAAAGTAAGTCATTTAAGCAAAGATAAGAAAGACCAGGATTTCAAAGTATTCACTCTTGGTTATGTGGTCTTTAAACCAGGCTTATATTAATTTGTATAGTAGTAGAAGACTCATTAACAACCTTGCTTGCTGAAAGTGAAGAGGACTTAAAACATTTACTGATGAAGATCAAAGAGCACAGCCTTCGGTATGGATTGCATCTCAATGTCAGGAAAAAAAAAATCTTCACCACTGGACCAATAAACAACATTCTTATCAATGAAGAGATTGACGTTGTCAAGGACTTCATTCTTCTTGGATCAACTATCAACACTCATGGAAGCAGCAGTCAAAAAATCAAAGGACATATTGCATTAGGCAAATCTGCTGCACAAGACCTTTTTTAAAGTGCCATGGTTTGCCAAAAGAACCAATAGATCCGTATTGGAAGAAGTGCAGCCAGAGTGCTCCTTGGAGGCCGGGATGGCCAAACTTTGTCTCTCATCCTTTGGACATATTGTCAGGAAGGACCAGTCACTGGAGAAGAATATAATGTTTGGTAGGGTGGAAGGTCAGAGAAAAAGAGGAAGACCCCCCAGTGAGACGGATTGGCAAAGTGGCAGCATCAATGGGCTCAAGTGTGGCAACAATAGTGAGGCTGGCCCCGGATCGGGCAGTGTTTCGTTCTGTTATGCATAAGGTCACTATGGGTCAGTACTGACTTGATGGCACGTAACAACAACAACATCATCTTATTAATAACCCACCCACTGTTGTTGAGTCTATCTGGACATGTGCAGATATGGTCATCTGCTTCTGTTTTTTGGGCATATTCAGGGGTTATCTGTGGCCTTAATACTTAGATGGGTATGTATTTTGGTATTTTTTTATGCTTTCTGATTGCCTCCATGTAGATGTGATCAGGAAATGCGCTTCCCTTTTCACCCTTCTTGAGAAGTTTCAAGATGCCACTGTTGGTTGTTTTGATGTATATTAAGACTTAATTTTCTGCCTATTTCCTTTTAGTCTGCCTGTCCTGCTCCACAATCCCTGTTCAGGCCTTTTTTCTAGTTATAAACAGTTCAAGGCCAGCTGTGGCCGTTTGGTCTTAAGTGGAAACTGTCTCTTTAAATTTTGAGGAGATCTGTGCGTATGCATAGAACACTCCGAGGGTGGGGCTGGGGTGTCCACTAGCTCAGGCACCCCAATGGTCACCAGAATGGAGGTGCACAGACAGCAAGGGACCAATGAACAGATACCCAAAGAAAAGAATGTCCACCCCTTTAACTCCGTGGTTCTGTCAGGAGTTCATGGCTGCTCTGATCCTTCCTGGCTTGGTCTCACCCAAGATGGCGGCTCCTGGAGCAGCTGAGCATCTTGAACTAGAAAGCAATGGATTTCTTGCTTCTGCTACAAATTCCCCTAGCTGTAAGCCTTCCAACCTTCTAAATATTCCTTTATATGTGGTTCAGAGTTCTGGGACCATCCCCTGAGCCTGCTTGGTCCTTTATTCTGTGTTGTTGCTGACAGAGATCCTTACTGCATTTCCACCCAATCCACCATCTTGTTTGTTCTCCCTCCATCTTCTTTTGATGCTTTCTGAATCATTCAATATTTTGGTCATAGAGTCCTTCTATGAGCAATCAAGGCTTGAATTTTTTCTTTAGTCCTTTCAGCTTGAGAAATTGGTCTTCCTTGTAGATGAATGGATATTATCCTATCACAGACAGCATTATACTTCAAGACAGATCTTGAAATGTTCTTTTTGTTGTTGATTGTGATGCCATTCCTCTTCAATGCATCATTCTTGGCACAATAAACCATATGACTGTCAGATTCAAAATGGTTGATATCAATCCATTTCAGCTCATTCATGCCTAGGATATCGATCTTTATGTTTTACATTTATTTTTTGATAACTTCCATTTTTCCTAGATTTAGACTCTGTGCACTCTGAGATCTGATTATTCATGGATGTTTACAGCTGTGTCTCTTAATTGTGAGTTATTCCCCATTGGCAAATGAAGGTTATGAAAGCTTTACTCCATCTGCATCATCACGATCAACTCTACTTTGAGGGGGCAGCTCTTCCCCAGTTGTATTTTGAGTGCCTTCCAACCTGAGGAGCTCATCTTCCAGCACTATATCTGGCAATATTCTGGTGGTATTCATCATAACCTAATATTCAATATTCTGGTGCTATCTGACAGTATTCCATTGCTATTCATAAGGTCTTCAATGGCTAGAACATTCAGAAGTAGTTTGCCTCTCCTTCTTCGTTTGTGTTAATCTGGAAGCTCAGTTGAAACCTGTCCACCATGGGTGTACCCTGCTGGTATTTAAAATACCATAGCATCACAGAAACACGCTAGCAATCATCATACAACAAACTGGTAGATGAGTGGTTGAATAGGGACCTAGTGATGTTAACTCGTTCACTCAAGGGTACACAGCTAGTAAGTGAAAGAGCCAGGATTCTAAACCCAGCAGCAGCCTTACTAGACCCCCTTACTTCAGTACCCACAGCCTTAGTTAAACACTACATTACCCTGAGTTCCAGTGGCTGGAGCTTTATAAAAAGCAAATTTGAGGATACATCTCTACCTTTTATAGATCTAAAACTCAAAACCCTTAGCATGTGTTAGCAGATTTGCCATATCTGTTCCCAGAAAGTTCTCTACTCCAGTTTCATGGGACCTTTGACTACTCTTTAAAGTTGTCACACTAGTTTGATTCTGGGTCTTGATAATCTTGGATCCTTGGCTTGGAATTCTTCCTTCCTGCCTTTCTCCCTCACCTCAATTTCCTTGGCTAACATCTGAAACTTCACTTCTTCATGAAGGCCTTTCTAAAGACCCCCAAGACTGAGAGGGATCCCTTTGCTGTAGGCTCCCATAACTACATGTTCAGTACCACGAAGCATACACTTGCTTGGCTATTTACTAACTGGGTGTCTTTCCTGGTTGATGGGAAAGAAGATCAATGACACCACACTGAGCTCACCAACTGATGAGAATAATACATAATTACGATGTTATTTCATTATAGGCTATGATGAATTCAGAAGCAAAAGTCACTATTCAAGTCCACGGGTCTTTAAATCGTGTACTCCCTTGATGACTCTCTAAGACCACATGGACATCAATTTCTACATCCTCAATTTCCACAGGGATTCTTTGCTAAAATGAACTGCCTGAGACTGTATGGAGCCTTTCATAATTGCCCTTCTTTCCACTACTTCTTTACAAAGGTGCTCCAGTGGCACCGTGGATTAGGCCTTGGGCTGCTAACCACAAGATCAATGGTTCAAACCCAACCAGCCACTTCTCAGGAGACAGACGATGCTGTCTGGTCCCACAGGGTTGTTTTGAGTTGGAACCCACTCATTGGCACTTGACAATATCAACAAACCGATCTAGTCCCTGAGTTGTGCAAATGGTTAAGCACTTGGTTGGTGGTTTGAATTTCCCCAGCAGCACCTCACAAGAAAGGTCTGGCAATCTACTTCCAAAATAGCACAGCCATGGAAAACCCCATGAAGCACAGCTCTACTCTGACGCTCATGGGCCCTCCAAGAGTTGGAGTCTACTGGACGGCAACTGGTTTGGTTTTCTGGTTTTGTTATAGCAACTTAGACGGCATGCTAACTGAACCAGATCTTAAGGCATACTTACAGATTTTAAGGCATGGCACTGAAGGTAAGAATGGACTGAAAACTGCTTTTATTGTCTGATATTTATCACAAACAATCATATTTAATTGTTTGTGATGACTATGGCACCATACAACCTAGAGAAGATCCTAGAAAAAAGCACAAAGAGGGAAAAGAACATGTTCCTTGAGGGAGCTGTTCTGGAGCCTCCTAATTCTGCCTTGGAGTTTGTGTCTTTTCTGTAAAAAGGTACTCTGGGTGACCCTCAGAGTTTCTTCTACCTCTAACGTTCTGTTTTTCTTATTGACTTCATGCAATTACAGATGATTTGAAGCCACCATGTGAAAAGACCCAAACTACTCAGGGGCATCCTTGTACCATTCCTCAACAAAAGCATTTTCCAATATGAAGAACAAGGCTTTTAACTAGGTATGGCACTGTGGGCTAATGTGTTGGACTGCAAGGTCAGTTTGAAACACAAGTTCGGCAGTTCGAGCTCACAAGCCACTTTTCAGAAACCTATACAGGGTTGCTATGAGTTGGAACCGACTCAATGGCACTTACCACCACCACCTGGCCAGCTAGACTGGCAGAACGCCCAAGACTATGGCCCTTAGAGACCAGTTAGTTCTGGAAATGAACTCACCCCCATGGATCAATTTTTAGTCAAATAATGCTGTTGTTAAGTATGTTGAATCGGTTCTGACTCATAGTAGCCCTCTATAAGGTTTCTGAGGAACAGCTGGTAAGTTTGAACTGTGAACCTTTTGGTTCAAACTGACCTTGCAGTTGAGTGCTTATCCTACAGTGACATACCAGGGCTTCAGTCAAACAACAGACAGGTCTATAAGGAGAACAATAACACCAGGAAGTATGCACACTTTAGAATAAGCAACCATTTGAGACAAAGTTCAGAAGGGTTAGGAAACAAGAAGGCATGGAAACAGGAAACTCAGGGAGGGAGTGGAGTAAGTGATGTTAACATTGTGAGGATTGTACTTAATGAGATAAATAAAACAAAATGCCTTTGAATTGTTGAATGAAAAGCTGATCTACTCTGTAAACCTTCACCCAGTTCACTATGTCGTTGTTGTTGTTAAGTGCCTTCAAATTGGTTCTGAGTAACTTCTGAGTCACAGCACCCCTGTGCAGGGTTTGAATCAATCACCGTGTGGCTCAAACTGACCCGGTGGTCCAGTACTTATCTTATAGTGCCACACCAGGACTCCAATTCACTATAAAAAGTTAAAAAACAAAAACAAGACTCTTTGCATGTTGATTGTTTGCAGAACTAAATCACAATACGTGGCACATTTTCTAGGTCCTCTCTTTGGTGATTCCAGTGTTAATCACAGATCAAAGTATGAACAACAACAACAAAAGTATTATTATTATTTTTTTGATAAGACATATCAAAAACCAATAGTGCATCAAGGTGTATTGGGTTAATGGAGTCGAACTGAAATAGGGGCAGATGAGGAGGGGTAGAAAATGAGTAGGTAGGTATGTTTTGAATGGTGAAAACAAAATGGATTCTTTTCTGGATTCTTCAAATGGCTCTGAGTTTACATCTGGCCCACAAATTGACTTTGTTTTTATCTGGAAAGAATGCATTTGTGACATTTTGTGAGATAATGAATGATGTGGTTAGCACATAGGTGGCATTAAAAACATCCTCCATAAACAATATACAAGTGCTCTTACCTGGGGGTTTTTAAATACAGCATATTTTCCCTCTTTCTCCAAAAACAGTACTTTATTCTCTGTGTCTCTGGTCCAGTCTGATAAGATTTCAACAACATTTTCATGGTCTTCAAAAAACCTCTCTGATGAAACAAGAAAAGGTATCCTTTAGATCCAGCACATCACAAGCTACCATTGACTTAAACACAATGCCTCATACTTTTCATAGGGTTTTAAAAAGTCGTTATTTTTACATGACATCACCTTGCAACATCCTATATATTTATTCTTCCATGTCAGGTCTTTAACTTATTGTCATATAAAAAACAACAAAGACCTTGGTGGAAGTCCCTACAATATGGTGACAATAGTCAGGTATCACACTTTTCTCATCTAGTATTTCTTGACTTTAAAGAGTACCACGTGGAGACAAACACTCATCTGTCAGGAGCACAGGCAAAGATTGGTTACCCACTGCGATCGAGCCAATTCTGACTAATAGTGACGTTATGGTGGTGGTGGCGTGCCGTGATGTCGGTTCCGACTCATAGCGACCCTATAGAAGGTTTCTGAGACTGTAAATCTTTACAGGAGCAGAGACCCTCATCTTTCTCCTGCAGAACGACTGGTAGTTTCAAACTGCTGACCTTGAGGTTAGCAGGCCAATTCATAACCACTATGCTCCCAGAGCTCCTTCCTTCTAGGGCTACAGAACTACTTACTCTATAGGGTTTCCATGTCTATAAACCTTATTGGAGCAGCTGGTGGATTTGAACGACCAATCTTGCAGATAGCAGTCTGATGCTTAACCCACTATACATATCGCCAGGGCTCCCTAAAGATGGGTGAAACATCTTTAAATGGAATTGTATGATATATAATGAATGCTGTAAAACGCCACTTCTAAACAGCTGATGAATCTCTGAACTAAGGTTAAACATGAAGGAAAGTTCTCATTTCTCAAATTGACTTCTTGTTGAAAAGCGCTATTGAGTGAGTTCTGTCTCATATTGACTTTGTTTAGGACTTCCAAGGAGTGGCTGGTGGCTTTGAACCACCAACCTTGTGGTTAGCAGTCCAGTACTGAGCCTACAGTGCTATCCCAGGGCTCCACTTGAGTTCTGGAGCTGAAGAAAATGTTACCGGTTTGTTGTAGTAGAGATCATTCCTCCAGAAAAAATATTTCACCTAAAGTTTCCAAAACAAGAAATTCTATGTCCCACCAAATTCTCTTGGAGATAACTCTCCTGTGAGTGCCATTAAGAATGAAAAAGAGTAGAATATTTCTTATGTAAAAAAAAAAAAAAAATACATAGCACAACATCTGCAAATTTAACAATTTTTTTTACATGTTCAATTTAGTGACATCAATTACATTAATCATATTGTACAGCCATCACCGATATCCTTTCTTGTATTTCCTTTGCCAGAAACAAAAACGGAAGGCTTCCTAAATAGTGACTCTTCTCTCCCCTTTCCTCCTGCCCCTGGTAAGCACTCATGATTTGTTTTGTATGTGTGTGCTTAATGACATCAGTTTCTAACAACTGTCCTTTGCTCTCTGGTGCTGAACCTCCTCAACTAGTCCAAATTTCAGAAAACAGGTGAGAAGGGAGGAAGGAAGAATAAATGAGCATTTGTATGAACCTGACTTCTTTTTTTCCAATCCAAGCTTTATTAACAGAAAGAGCAGTATGGAGGACAGAGAGAATATTTTCTCAATACCGTCCTGTCCGTTAGGAAGAGCAGGCACATTATACAGGGCAAGTTACGTTTGGATGTACACTTAATCTATCTTAACATCAAGACAGCATTCTTTGAGAAACGGAAACAATAAATCAATAAACTTCCTCAAACATTTTACTTTTCGGGTGTCAGCTACTTAATTCTTGAGATAACTATCTGGGTCGGTTTAAGCACATCTTATTCTCCTTGTCTTGTTCTCCTTCTAGGACCAGAAGGTCATCTTAGCTAATTTATAAACTTCCTCATTTGCAGGGTCCTCATTTGAGACTTAATGACTAAACCGACTCCATTTTGTTTAGCTTGTTCGATCCATGCTATCATTCCCCACTCTTATTTGTAGATTTCTGTGAAATTTGCTTCAAATGAAAATAATTACTTTGATCCTGGGCATTGTTCCTTTGGTCAAAATAACTAAGCTTAGGTGCTGAAAAACAACAAGTTTAACAAAGGGCGATACACCAAGGTGAGCATTGAATACAGCAACATCTGAAAATTCCTGACAATATAAACCTTCACTGTTAACATGGGTAGGCACTTTGGATTAGGTAACTAAGACAACTCACTTTCTTTTATGTTGAGCCTAACTTCTTATAACAATCTGATAACAACTGTAGTTGAAGGCAGCTAACTCTAAAGAGACATTAGCTGATAGATATCCAGGGCCTCCCACAATCTGCTTAGCTTACTAAGCATGCAGTAAGAAGTATCAGCCTGTCACTTTCTTTCCCTTAAGGAGCCACTAGAGAAATGGCAATGATAATGTTTACATCCCCCAAGGTCTGCCCACCACCTGCTACAGTCTGACTTTCGCCACCACAAAGAAATAAAGAGCACACTCTGAATGTGCAGACCCACAGGATTTCGGAGGACAGCCTATTGCTGGGCAATGGACTTACCAATTTGTAGTTCGGGGTATATTTCATAAAGACACCAATCTACATTGCAGTCACAATGAGTTTTCTCAAAAAGGTTGTCTAAAACATCTCGGGCCAACTGCCTCTCATCCACCATCAATGACTTGGTGCTGTTATCATTCATGTGCACCTTGACCACGAGCTGAGGAGAAAGCCACAGAGCAGCTAGCACATTTTAGGCACCTGGAGAAGGCCACCAAGATTAAGGTTTCAAAGTCATTATTGTTTCGGTAGGAGCTCTGGTAGCTTAGTGGTTATGAATCGGGCTGTGAACCACAAGGTCAGCAGTTCGAAACTACCAGCTAGCTGTTCCATGGGAGAAAGATGAGGCTATCTGCTCCCATAAAGATTTACAGCATATAACCACCACCACCATTGTTCCTGTGAATTTACTTTGTATGTAAGAACTGTGCCCTCACTCACTTAATATGAACTCACTCATATGCTGAGCACTGTTTTAGGTGTTAGTTAGGGATATGGTTGTTGAGGTGCCATCCGGTTGATTCTGACTCATAGTGACCCTGTATAGGGTTTCCAAGGAGAAGCTGGTGAGCTTGAACCACCGACCTTGCAGTTCACACGACTTTGCAGTCTGACGCATTAGCCCACAGTGCCACACCAGGATATGGTGGCTGGTGGTAGTTATGTGCTGTGGAGTCGGTTCTGACTCATAGCAACCCTGTCAACCCTGTACAGGGTTTCCGAGGCTGTAAATCTTTAAATCTTTACGGGAGCAGAAAGCCTTGTCTTTCTCCCGCGAACAGCTGGTAGTTTTGAACTGTTGAACTTGTGGTTAGTTGCCCAATACATAACCACCACGCTACCAGTTGTTGTTAAGTGCTGTCGAGTTAGTTCCGACCCATAGCAACCCTGAACAGGGTTTCCAAGGCTGTAAATCTTTATGGGAGCAGAAAGCCTTATCTTTCTCCCGCGGAACAGCTGGTAGTTTGCAGCACATGCAAACCCTGATATTCAAAAATGTGGGTATCAGGGCAGCAAAAGGTCACTTCCACTTCCAGAATCACTCAAATTAGATCAATGCTTCTTTTCCCTCCTTGAAAACTTGCAGTTTAGAAGCCTGCAATTAAATAGTTGCTTTTCCCTATATTTGTCTCTTGATACATTTAAAATGATAGGCAAGGAACCAGAGTGTCAAAGATCCATGCAGTCTGATCTTAGAAATGAGGCATGGAAAGTTGCATGGAAAAACACAGAAATCCCTCAAAGAGTGGTCTTTACTATGATTTATCTCCTGTAGAAGGCAAACCTGCTGCTTTCTGCTCAGTTATTGCAATAAATTAACTACATGCCCTAAGAACCATTACAAACATTAGGGCTTTGAAAACTTAATCTTCCTGATGACAAAATTAATGATGTTTGACTGCATTTCATTCCTGCCTAGAATTCTAGAGAAAATAAAGGAAAAGTTGGTGGGTTTTTTTTTTTTTTAATAGAGAGAAAAATGAGACCACTTAATTTAAGAATGATGTAAGGGTTTTGGATGGCAGAAACTAGATCTTATCTGGAGTCCTGGTGTGGCACTGTGGGTTAATGCGCCAGACTGCAAAGCCGTTTGAAGTGCATGGTCGGCGGTTCAAGCTCACCAGCTGCTCCTTGGAAACCCTATATAGGGTCGCTATGGGTAGGAATTGACTCGATGGCACTTGACAACAACAACTAGATCTAATCTACATGTATAAATATCTACAACTATCGAATTTAGGAAACAAATAATACAAGAGGACGCTAGTGATTTTTAGAGAGGATAAAGCATATTTGCTTTTCTTTACAATGTCTATTGCATCTGCAAGCTAAAGAGTAGCTCTATGTCAACATACTCATATGACTGTGATTTAGCAAGCTAAGTACTTTTCATATTTATACTATATAACATGAAGTAAAAATGATTCAAGAATGAAAAAATTCACCTTTCTAATTCATTGCAGTAAAGATGTTATAGCTTTTATAATTTTTCTTTCTGCAAGCTGTTGTTGTTGTTAAGCGCTGTTGAGTCGGTGCTGACTCATAAGGTTTCTGAGGAGTGGCTGCTGAGTTTGAACCACCAATTGTTAAGGTTCAAATTAACCCTGAGGTTCAGTGAATTATTCTAAAATGACATGCCAGGATCTAGCACTAACTTATTTACAGTATTTTTACTTTTATAAGATCTACAAAATAAATTGTTCTGTCTTGTCACCAAGCTTAAAACAAACAAAATTAATGAATGAATCGGGTTCTATTTCTAGATCCAAAAGCTTTGCACCATAAGCTATGAATATCATCTCTAATCCAAAATGATGTCAACACACCACAGATACATGATGCAGAATATTTGAAGGCAAAGTACTTCAGATAAACGTGATTTCCTACCTTTAAAAATATGTTTTAGATGATACATTTACAGTATTTTCTTAATGTATAGAAATGTTTCAGTTATTTTCTAATGCTTTGTGCCACAGAGAAGGTTTGGTTTTTGAAAAATAAATTTGGAATGTGAAGTCAAGACAAACATGTATACAAACTGGCTTTTCAAAACTTTCTTTCCTTTACCACGATCAGAATGGTGGCTTCTGAGGTAGGCTGTATTTCATGTTTACTCTTATAATTCACCTAAATTATAGTGAACTTATCTTGTTGCTTGATATATTGCAGGAAATATATGCTATCCATATTCTTCTGTGTTCTCTTAAGTGCCAGTTGAAGCAAATATATTGAATTCTGCTAGTTGGTCTTTTTATCTAAGAAATAACTTGTCTGTATTTTCCCTCTGAAAATGTATACACCATGGTCCTCATTTTATAAACAATCCAGTGATTGGAATAGTTTAGCTAGTTATGATCATTTTTTACTATCTATAATTTTTATTTTTACTTATTTTCTTTTGTCTTTTTATCTCCACAACTACAGTCACTCAGTATAGCCTGTCTTCATTTGCCATTCTTTTGTGACTCAGATGCTACCTTCTCAGAAAGGTCTAATCAAACCAATCTACAGCAGCAACATAGGCAGTGAATTGGGCTGTGAACCTTAACATTAGCAGTTCGAAACTACAAGCTGTTCCGCGGGAGAAAGATGAGGCTTTCTGCTCCCGTAGAGATTTACAGCTTTGGAAACCCTGTACAGGGTTGCTATGAGTGGGAACCGACTCCATGGCATATAACAACAACAACAACATCACACATTGCTGTTTTCTTTTCCTCATAGCACTATCTCTCCCACTAGAATTCAACCATACTAGCAGGGGTCATGGAGTCCTGGTGTGGCGCTCTGGGCTAATGTGCTGGATTGCAAAGTTGGTTTAAACCACAACGTCACTAATTGCTCCTCAGAAAAAGATAAGGAGCAGATTATTGAAACAGACGAAACTTTGAAAATATAGGTAGGGCTCAGTTTCAAAAAGAGAACTTGGACATTACTTTTTGCACCACCAAAATGGCTAGCGGCTATGCCACGGATTATTAAAAATTCACAGAAACAATTGTAGAAATGCTGAGATAAGGCTAGAAGGTGGGCCATCTACTATATGCTAAGACTGAGCTAAGCCTGAGAGGGTACCTCTAGGGAGAGGGATCCTGAGCGTGGATGCTAAGCTCCTGCCTAGGCAGCAGCCAAGGACCTTTTCCTTCCTGCTCACAATTCTACTGCCACGATTGTTGCTGATGAGTGTCGTCAAGGTCGAGTTGGTCCCAACTCATAGCGACTCTGTGTAGAGTTTCTAAGGAGTGAATGATAGATTTGAACTGTAGACGTTGTGTGTTTAACCTACAGTGCCATACCAGGATTGCCTCCACTATTCCAGTGCCTAGAAAATTCATGTGTTAACCAACACCAACAACAAAAGCATGTGTAAGCCAATGGGGTTTCCACATTTATACTAGCATCACACCCTAGCTGTCAGCAATGATGTCACAGAAAGACCTAAGTGTAAAATTAATGTAATTAAATTAATTGTAATTAAAATAATTTCCTAAGAAATTGTTTTAATCACAGTTATTTAGGAAGCATCACTCAACATTTTTACTTATCATTATTGTTGTTAAGTGTCATCAAGTCCGTTCCAACTCATAGTGACCCTATATAGGGTTTCCAAGGAGTGGCTGGTGGGTTTGAACATCCACCTTGCTGTTCAAACTGACCTTGAGGTTTAGTGCTTATCCTACCCATTAGGTGTAATAAAATTTCATTTGCTTAACTTATCCAGGCCACCTCCCTCCCAAAAAAAAATTATAGTTTACCTTCTTCACCTTGGCCTCCTTCAGTTTTTCCAGTGCCAACTTAATTTTATCAGCTTTGGCTTGGGCTTCTTGTTCTTCCTGTAAAATGGCAAAATATTCAATACAGTTCATTCAATAACGCCTGTGAGTAATTACCCATGCCTTCACTAGTACCTTGTTTTATGTTAACAAAAGGCTGTATTCAGAAGCACCAAATTTCACATGATTTATTTTTGGAATTGAAATGGAATGCAATAGAAATCTTCAGCCCAAAGATACAGAAAGCAGTCAGTCTCTTAGGAAGAGTAACCTAAAAGATTAACTGATAGCTTTAGCTAAATCTCTGCTTTGTTCACAAAGTGAGGTCTGAAGGAATATGTGGATGTATCTCAAGGAATCTGAGAACCCCCTGAAGTTCTATGCACATTTTGAGCCTTATACATGGGTCTTTTCTGAAGGAGCCCTGGTGGCACTGATAACCAAAAGGTCAGTGGTTCAAATCCACTAGGCACTCTGTAGGAGAGAGGACTTGACGATTTGTTCCTGTAAGATTTGTTATGTTCTTGTTAAGTGCCGTCCAGTTGGCTCTGACTCACAGAAACCCTGTAAAGGGTTTCCGAGGAGCAGCTGGGGGGATTGAACTGCCGACCTTGAGGTTCTCAGTCCAGTGCTGATCCTACATCACCACACCTAGGAAACCCAATGGGGCAATTCTACTCTGTTACATAGGTTGCTATCAGTTGGAACTAACTCAGTGTCACCCAATAACAATGCACTTTCTGGGATTCCTAAAGGGACACTTGGTGGTGGTTGTGTGCCATGGAGTTGGTTCTGACTCACAATGACTCTGGGTAGGGATTCTGAGGCTGTAAATCTTTAGGGGAGAAGAACGCTTCATCTTTCTCCCATGGAGTGGCTGGTAGATTTGAATGGCTGACCCTGTGGTTAGCAGCCCAACTTGGAACCCACTATGCTACTAAGGGCTCCTAAAAGGGGCACTTGTTGTTGTTATGTGCCATGAAGTCGGTTCTGACTCATAGCGACCCTGTACAGGGTTTCAAGGCTGTAAATGTTTACGGGAGTAGAAAGCCTCATCTTTCTCCCGCGGAACAGGTGGTAGTTTCGAACTGCTGACCCTGAGGATAGCAGCCCGATTCGTAACCACTATGCTACCAGAGCTCCATAAAGGGGCACTTAGCTGCTCCAAAACTACAGCTGGATCTCAACTGATAATTCACGGAAAAAACACTGACAAACACACATAAAGCAAGGAGGAAAGATAGTGAAATAATTGGAATCCAAAATACTTTGAGTTCTGCAGATCCATATTCAAGGAATAGGATTATTATTGTGTTATTTTTGTTAGGTGCCAGCCAGTTGGTACCAACTCAAAGAGACCTTATATATAGCAGAATAGTGCCTGGTCCTGCATCAACTTCACAATAGTTACTACGCTTGAGGCCATTGCTGCACCCCATGTGCCAATCCAACTCATTAAGGATCTTCCTCTTTTTCACTGACCCTCCACTTTACCAAGTACGATGTCCTTCTCCAGGGACTGGTCCTGACAATACATCTGAAATA